ACACACCCTGACTTCCCACGCAGCTCTGGATCCCACCTGCGCACCCTGCTGAGGTACCGTGTCTCTCGGAATGGTCCTACCTGTTCCTTGCTGACAAGCGTTTTTCTGTCCCCAGTAGTTAGGGGGACATGTGGCCATGTCTGGGGGTCCCTTAGATGATGTGACTTTAAATCCAGTCCATGGCCCCTCCACTCCCTGAAGTGGAGCCCCACTCTGTCTTGGGGTGTCCAGGGGACACTTGGATGGGGATGTGTGAAGAAGGTTCAAATCAGCCAGCTCTTAACTCGTAACTCTGCCCTCAAGATATTGCTGGCCTGAAACTTCCAGAAGGATGCTCATGGGTCCTGCCCTGCCCTGGGAGTTGAGCGTGCTCTTGTCAGCGTGGGATATGAGTCCCAGAGAACCACTGGGCCTGAACTGAATTGTTTGGCCTACTAGAAATGGGTTTGCCAGGCAGTTGGCAGCTGCCTGCTCTCTGGAGAGACGGCATGCTTTCAACATAGTGGCCCACAGGCAATGTTCCACCCAGAACCCCAGAAGGGCCGACCCTCTGGGAGAAGCTACAAAGTGCTTCTCTTTCCCCGGAATCATTGGCTCTCACGTGTTATTAGGACCTGGACCTGGAGGGTGGGGCCCAGGGCCCACCTGGTCATCTGTTTCTAGGCACAGTGAAGGTGCTCAGTACAGATTTGGGAACTGCCAGAGCAGCTACCAAAGTGGGTAAGGGAATTGTGGCAATGAGGGCTCCGAACTTCGCCTTTGTAAGGGTCCATGAGGTCGTGATCCCTGTAGGATTGAGAAGATGGGGCAGGGACGCTCTGCCTGCCACTTCTGAGGAATTTCAGGACTTCAAAGACCCAGGCATGGGGCTTGTGGCAGGTGGAGCCAGGTGGTATCCACCAGAACCAGGTTTGAATCCCTTCACCTCCACCTTTGACAGGAGAAGTCTCCCACTGTCTCCCTGACCTACTTCCCAGAGCCCCCACCTCTGAGAAGGGAACTGTAGGGCTGGCCAGGGGCTGTGTGGGGAGAAGGCCGATTCCTGGCTAAGGGGTTCCGTCTGCTCATCACCCTGGGCCACAGGCCAGTCAGTGCAGGTCACCACTCCAACCATTTTTGACCTAGAAAAGCAGTTTTCATGATTCCCCCAGATGTTGTTTGTCTGGTGGCCCAAATGCTGAAGTGTGAGCTGACTGGTGCTAAGCGCTCCCAACCCCAAGGAGTCCCCCTGGTGTGGGCCCAGCCTGGAGCTGGAGGGCCTGCCCAGCCACCTCGCCAGCTCCCTCCTTGCCAGATGGGGAGCCGGCACCTGGGGTCGGTGGCTCTTGTCCAAATCAGACACATCTTTTCAGGGGCAGACCCAGGCCAGAATCTGAATTTTTGACTCCTGATTGGGTCCCCTTCCCTGAAGCCACTGCCAATGTTGGGAGCCAGGGGGTTTCAACAGGCCAGCTATCTCCACGAGGTGCCAAAGCATCCCGGAAGATGTGGTGAGGTGCAGGAAGCTGGCATTTTCCAGAACTCCCCAGGGAGGCAGCCCCGCATGGGCAGAGGTGTCTCTGGCGGTAGCTCTCACGCCCACGGGTGGGCCAGCTCAGCTTCCTCATCTGTGCAATGGAGTAATCATAGCATCTGCCCCTGGGGTGTTGTGGTGAGTTCAGTGAGTAAATATTTATACAAGATAAAAATTGTGAATACAGTGTATAAACATATAATATATATGGTGTGTGTGTGTGTGTGTGTGTGTGTGTGTGTGTATGTATATAAAATGCACTTACAGGGTGTCTGGCACGTTCCAAGGACCATTGAGTGTTTGCTATAATTCTATGGGGATTTCTGGGGTCAGCAGCAGCTGCGGCATCGGGTGTGAGTTTGGGCCAGTGCTGAGGAGCTAAGACTAGAGAAGAGCCTTGAGAAGAGGTCCCCTTTCCTTCCCCACCTCCCCGGCTTTGATCCTAAATATCCAGGGGACAGATATTTCGAGAGACTAGCAGCTTGTAGGAACTGGGCTTGGTGTGCGCAGCCATCTTGCTGCATCCAGCCTCTCTGGCCCTGGGGCATTGCTTGGACCCTCACAGCTTTAACAGGTTTGTGAGTTCAAGTGGGGCGTCCCCTGGAAAGTGCCCAGGGAGAGTCTGGGCCTAGTGAGGGCCCTTTGGTGTTGGCAATTACAGTAACCCTCCATGCTGCCAGCACAAGCGCCACGAAGCTAAAACAATGCAGGGCCTGGGGTGGGAATTGATTTGTCCCCACCCTCCAGGAGATCAGTTTCAAAGGAGGAATCTGGAAAGCAGTGGCAGACAGGAAGGAAGTTGGTTGGGAACGCTGGACCCTCAGGCATTCGTAGCTGCTCCCTGGCTGGCCCCACAGATCCCACGATTCTGTGCCTTCCCTCTCCCTGGTCTTTACTTCACCTGGGAAATCACAACAGGTTCGCCTTTCAGCCCCCTGCCCCTGAAGCCAAAAAAAGGCTTCCTAAAAAACAAACCAGATGAGATCACTCCCTTTCCTAAAAAATGTTTGCGATCTTCCCGTGACTGCCCAAGCTAAAACCTAGCTCCCGTGGTTGATACGCATAATCAGAGATGATCCACGTCATTAATCGTCAGGGAAATGCAAACCCAAACCACTGGAAAGACCGCCTCACTCCTGTGAGGACGGCGCTCAGCAGAGTAACACCAGAACCAGGGGTTTGGTGGGCACGTGGAGATACAGGCGTCCTCACGTCTCACTGGTGGGCAGGCAAGATGGTACAGATGATGTGGCAAAAGTTAGGCAGTGCCTCGAGAGTTGAACGGCATTACCACGTGACCCCGCAGCTCTACTCTAGGTAAATACTCAGGAGAATGAAAACACAGCTTCCCACCGAAAATTGTCCATGAATATTCATAGCAGCATGATAGACGATAGCCCCAGACTGCAAAAAAAACCCCAAACATCCATCGACAGATGAACAGCTCAACAGCACACATTCTCTCCATGCCGTGGAATATTATGCAGCCATAAAAAGGAATGAAGGACTGGCACAAGCTACCCTGTGGAAATACACTGAATGAAAGAAGCAGTCCTCAGAGGCCCCCTATTGTGCGGGTCCATTTACATGAATTGTCCTGAAGAGACAGATCCACAGAGACAGAGGGTAGAACAGTGCTTGGCAGGGCTGGGGTGGTGAGACTGGAGAGCAGCCGTTGTGGCTCTGGGATTTCTTGGCAGGTAATGAAAATGCTCTGGAATTCAGTGATGGATGCACAGTCTCTTCAATCTATGGAAAAACCACAGAATCCTATACTTAAAAATGGTAAATTTTATAGAACATGAGTTACATCTCAGCTTTAAAGATGGCGTGGGCTCCACCCATTAGTGCTGGCCGGAGACTCCCACACTGTCCTCCGCCACGTTCTCTCTTCTTCTAAGTCACAAGCCACCGGCCCTGGTCGCACTCACCCCACGGAGCCCTCGGGCCTGTCCTGAGGCAAGGGCCCCTCCTCTGGCCTCTGAAGTCACCCACTCAGACCTCACCCCACATCTTCTTTCTGATCCCCCTGAGACAGTCAAGCATTGTCCACCTGCTGCCCTGGGTTGGAGGTGTCAGTCCCGGCTTCCCTCCTCCTCAGGGTATGGAGGCGGCTGCTCACTGGAATGGGTCAGGAAGCCTGAGTGCTGAGGACACTTGAAATAGAGACACTCAAGTGGGAATGACACCAACACGGCTGGGTTTCCCTCAAGCACCTTCCACAGCAATCTCCGTGGAGCGTGAGTCGCAATCTCCGTGGAGCGTGAGTCCCCCTCCACCGTTCCCTAGAGCGTCGCCCAACTGCGTCTTGCTTTCCAGCTCCCTTTTTCTCTGGAATTGTATTCGCTTCTTTCCCACCTGCAGTTCACAACCAAGTTCCAACTCAGCCACTTTTAATGGGCCAAGCCCTGCTTGCTGGAGGCCAGGGGGCAGGTCTGGATTTCATTCGAGAGACTTCCTTCTTGCACCCGTGTCCAGGCACCCGCACATCTTTCCTTGTGTCGCGTGCTGTGATCACTTTCATTCCATCGTGTTGTCATCGGAGGAAGGTCCATGATGCACTCAGTACATTTATTTCTCAAAATTTTGAAGTTTGAAATAGGTAATACTCGTGCATGGTAGAAAAGCTGCGGGCCGTAGAGAGGGTCAACAAGGGGGGGGGTGTCCGTGCCTCTTAGGGCTCCCCCACTTTGCAGGTGTTTTGCAGGTGGGCTCCCCAACAAACAGGCTGACACAGAGGTGGGGGGTATGTGGGCAGGAGGTTTATAGGGGAGCTTTCTGGGGGCAGCGCCGGGGACAAACGGGCTGGGCAATTAGGACGCCTCACTACCAGGGGCGGCTGTCACCCACAGCCTCCATGTTGTCTTTGGCACCCTGCCCTTTTTGATCAAGCACTTATTCTTAATTTTTATTTTCTTATTCCTCTAAAGGTTGTGCCAGGGGCCTCTCTGGCCCCTTAAGCTCGCTCCTTGCCTCAAGGGTGGAGCCCACGCAGGGGTCGCTGGGCCTTTGCACCCCAGCCTGGGGACAGAGCTTAGAGAGCCAAGCTTCATCCACTTTTCCTTCTCTCCTGAGGCAACTTTCTAGGGCTGTGGAGTTATAAAAAGCCCCCATGTGTCATCTTCTGGCTCGGGAAGCTGCAGAATGCCCTAGGCAGGCGGCCGGGCCCACCGAGCTCAGCATTTGAATGATGTGTCGCTTGGCAAAAGCAGCTGAAGTTCTCACACAGCTGCCTTCAGGAAGTGTGTTCACTTACAAAAATACCACACAAAATAGGCTTTTCCACACCCCCTCCCTGTTGCCCCCAGCACAGGCGGCTTGGGCAGAATCAGAAAGTGGAGCGTTGGGGTCAGAACCCCCGTGGGAGGGGTGACCCCCACATGGGAGGGAGGCAAGCCCCGACATGGCTCGGCTGGCCGTGGGCGAGGATGGCCCTGGGGCTTGCAGGGTGTGAGCGCGGGGACTCAGTTTCTCTCTCCCCCCAGCCATGGCGCCCTGCCCCGTCCTGCAGAGGGAGCCGGTGTTCCAGTCGGGAGCGCACGCCTACAGGATCCCCGCTCTGCTCTACCTGCCAGGGCAGAGGGCCCTGCTGGCCTTTGCCGAGAAGCGGATGAGCAAGAAGGATGAGCACGCGGAGGTGATTGTCCTCCGCAGAGGGGACCACGACGTGTCGGCCCAGCAGGTCCAGGTAAGGCAGGACGTGGCTGTATTTCCTCAGCCCTCCACGGTGCCCTCCAACTGATGGCTGCGGCCTGGGGGCCAGGAGGAATCCACATGTGGACACCCAAGAGGAATGCCAGGAGCTACCAGGCAGAGGTGGCGATGGTGCCCTCGCCACCCCGAGGGTCCCAGGGCGTCACTCGGCTGCGTCTGCTTTGCTGGGTGACTGATGTTCAGACAGGCTTCCTTGTGCCCCTGAGGACCTGAGTTCAGCCCCACAGAACGGGGGAGGGGTGTCCTTGAGAACAATTAACCTGGGGGTCGAGGGGCTTGGGCTACTGCTTGTGACCTGGGGCGCCAACGTGTAGGCCAAGCAGCTGATTGGGACCAAGCCCCCCGAAGCTGGCTTGTCACAGGGGAAGGGGGTGGAAAGGTTCGGCTGAAGTTCTCAAAGGCAGGGAAAATTTAATCCGGGCGGGATTCACGGACCCAAGGTGGGGGTCGGGAAGCCGCGCACGTTGCCGGGGGCGGCAGGTTTCACAGGGTGAGGAGAGGCCAGCTGGGAAACCATTTGTATGGTGGGAAAAAAGTTATAAGGCACAAAAAGATTTGTAGGGTGGGGAGAGGTTCATTGTCTGAGTTTTCTAGGCGGGCTTCTGCATTCCTGCCCCCAGGGGGGCTTCCTGGGGGGCTTTTGCATTCCTGTCCCCTGCACCGACCTTTCAGCGTTGATTATTCTCCTACTTCGTGGTCACCACTGCGTGGTTGACCGTTCAGAGCACAGGTGGACCTGGGTCCATGCTTACGAGAGCCACAGTCTCAGACAGCTCGTCTCCCCCACCACGCCTCTCATTCCCCAGATGTGAGATGGAACTCACAACACTCGTTCCCTGGAGTTCCGAGTTAGGGTTGAATGGGACGGGGTGACGTCAGGCTCTTGGCACAGGACACCTCAGAAAGCTTGCTGGGGGATCAGTGCCAGAGGCACTGATAGCACCCTATGTGCCATAGGCTTAGCGATGGCATAAGCTCCATGGAAGTCCTTCATGTGATGGTCCTGCCCCTCCTGGGCTGCATTAATAGAGTATGTTTTGTAGAAGAGGGGAGGTGATTGTCACAGGCTCTCCCTCACTGGTTGTACTTGCTACTAGGGCTTGACTTTTCAAGAACAGGAAGCTGGGCTGGGTTGGTAAGTTGAAGGCACCAGGATGAAGCTGGGAATAGCTCTTGCCAGAATCATCTGTGTCTGGGGTCTAGTGTACCACGGGCACCCAGAAATGTGTGGCGGTGGGAATGGAAGCAATAGGCATTCAAATGAAGAGGGGGTTGCCTTGGAGCACGTGCGGCGGGGTGCTGCTCCTCCCCCACCTTACTCTGGGGAAGCATGAGGCTGATGGGTGAGTGAGTGATGGACGAAGAGCTCTCCTCTCTGACCTCCAATCCTGACCCCTCGAGTCACATGCTGCCCCCTCCCCCCAGGGTGCAGCTGGCGCCGGCACTGTCCACTTCAAGACCGTCTTCCCTTTCTTCTTCCTCACATGCAGTGGCACACGCAGGAGGTGGTGGGCGCAGCCCAGCTGGAAGGCCACCGCTCCATGAACCCCAGCCCCCTGTATGACGAGGTCACGGGGATCCTGTTCCTCTTCTTCATCGCTGTCCCAGGGCAGGTCTCCGAGCACCACCAGCTCCGCACCAAGGTCAATGTCACGCGCCTGTGCCTGGTCACCAGCACTGACTATGGGAGGTCCTGGAGCCCCGCCAGAGACCTCACTGACCCCGCCATTGGCAGCGCCTACCGGGAATGGGCCACCTTTGCGGTGGGCCCTGGGCACTGTCTGCAGCTGCACAACAAGATGCAGAGCCTGCTGGTGCCCGCCTACGCTTACCGGATACTGGGCCCACTCCAGAGCCCTTCCCCTTTCGCTTTCTGCTTTGTCAGCCACGACCATGGGCACACGTGGGGGAGAGGGGACTTCGTGGCCCCCGACACCCTGGAGTGCCAGGTGGCAGAGGTCGGGCACGGGCCACAGAGGGTGGTGTATCTCAACGCGCGAAGCTCCCACAGGGCCAGGGTCCAGGCCCAGAGCACCAACGACGGGCAGACCTTCCAGAAGCCGCAGCCGGTGCAGAAGCTCGTGGAGCCGCCCCCCAGTGGCTGCCACGGCAGCGTCATCAGCTTTCCCAGCCCCCACTCGGGCCCACGCACCTCGGACAAATGGCTGCTCTACACTCACCCCACCGACCCGCAGCACAGAACCAACCTGGGCGTCTACCTCAACAAGCGGCCCCCAGCCCCCGAGGCCTGGTCGGAGCCCACCCTGCTGGCCACAGGCAGCTGCGCGTACTCGGACCTGCAGGGCATGGGGCCCGGGCCCGACGGGTCGCCCCAGTTTGGGTGTCTGTACGAATCGGATAACTACGAGGAGGTCGTCTTCCTCATGTTCACCCTGAAGCAAGCCTTCCCGGCAGAGTTTTTGCCTCAGTGAACCTGCCGGCCCCATCAGTGTCCCTGCCGTCGGCTCTCCTACCAATGGGGTCGAGAGGACCGTCTGATGAGGGGGGATCAGTGGCGACAGCTACTTTGTGCATGTGGTTGAGCCTCGCGTGGCTGGCAGTGACTGAATGGGCTTTTCGCAGGGTGCGGAGCTGGTGGTGTGGCTTTGGCTCTGGATGCGTCTCCAGCACTGGTGCTGCTTCTCCCTGTGGGGTTTTAAGAAATCCAGAGGGAAAGACAGGCATTCGGCCCTGGTCGCTGCTAGGAGGGAAAGAGAGGCCCTCTGGGGGGTGGGAGACACGTGTGGGGTGGGAGCTCAGGCTGAGGCAAGAGGGGGAGCAAAGGGCAGGCAGGGCAGTGCACCCTCAGTGAGAGATAGGGCGGCCCTATCAGACCAAATCAGACCCCTTCAGAGCGGAAGGAGGAGGCCATGAATAAGACACCAAGTCAGTGGTTGTGGCCTCACACGTTCCAGGCAAACCCAGAGACTCAAGAGAAAAAGCCCCCGAGGACTGTGCTGGGGCTTGTCGACACTTGCTGTCATGGAAGAGTTGAGGCTCTGGAGATGATGCAGGAAAGGAGGGGCTTCTGGCCTCTCCAAGCAGAACGTCGCTCTCAGAGGCTCTGTCCACAGAGGTCAAGGGTCTCCTCGAGGAGCTCAAATCTTGCCGATGCTCCAGCTGCACTACTGACTCCCAGAACCCCTGGTGCCGGGGCCCAGTTCTCCAAATTATTCAGGTGACCACAAGGATCGAGACCCGCTGGCATAGACAGATGGTCTCTGAAGTTCTTTTTAGTTCTAAATGTACGCAGGTCTCCTGATTTTGCAACCAAGCTAAATGGTTAAATTACTTTGAGCACAAAAGAGGGAGAAAAATTTATCTAAACTCTTCTCTGAGTCTTGCTTTCACTGACACAGCAGAGTCTGGAGGCTTGTTGACTGACCTTGAGCTGAGCTCCAGGGCCGGTTAGAGCTGGGAGACACAAATGTGGGGTGGGGGGTCAGGGGGGTGCTACCCAGAGGTGAGGAGCCCAGCAACAAAAATTCAAAGCTCCAGTTATCTGAAGAAAAGCCTCTTCATACTTCATGAACTGCCCCGTAACTAGTCAGTGAACTTCAGCCAAGTCCACATTTCTTTACCCTTAGCCAGCTCTTCAGCCACTACTCCTGTGTTCTCTATATTGATCCCCAAGGGCCTCCCCTGGTGGCGCAGTGGTTGAGCGCTGGGCTGTGAAGCTGCCCACAGCCGCTGCAGTGCCAGTTTGATCCCTGGCCACCAGTCAAGGTTCCCACATGGCACGCAGACCTCTCCTGCCGCCCGCGGCTCCCCTCAGCAGTGTACTTCAGTCCTTCTGCCTGCTCTGCTCCCCGCTCTGGCTCTGGTGAATTCTCTCACCCTCCCGCGCTTCTGACTGTACCCAGTGCTTGTATAAATAAATAAATAAATCTTTAAAAAAAAATATTGGTCCCCAAAACCCATATGACCTCATTTCCTTTTGTAACCAGATTTGAATTTATCTCCTACCAATCCCTTTGTCAATTGATTCACAATAAACCTTATTTCTCAAAAACCCTGGTGCCATAATCTAGTCCCTGCCTGTTGGACAGTGAATGCAGTAACAATTTGAATGAAAATTAAAAAAAAAAAAAGGAAAGCAAAAATTGATTTGGTTAAAGCTTAACTCATCAAAAGACACCACTAAGGGAGTGAAAAGAAAGATCATAGATGGGGAGAAGATCCTTGTAGTATATATATCTGCCAAAAGGCTTGTATTCAGAATATATAAAGAGTGTCTACAAATCAATAAGAAAAAGGCAAGCCAATAAAAGTGCCCAACAGGCACTTGAACAGGCACTTCACTAAAAAGAATAAATTGAAGGCTGCTACGTATGTGGTCAACAGGGAAACGTAAATGAAAACCACATGATACTTATCCACTAGAATGACAAAATTGAAAAGATTGACAACAGCAAATATTGGCAAGGATGTGAAGCAACCAGAACCCTCACACATTTCTGGAGGAAGTGTAGCTAGTACAACCACTTTAGAAAACCATTTACTAATACCTACTAAAACTAAACATGCAAATGCTCTATGACCCAACAAATCCCTTCCGAAATGAATGTTGCCAAAGATGCACCTATGTAGAAAGCAGCTTTATTCCAAAGAGTTTCAGACTGATAACAACCTAAATGTCAATGAAAATGAGAATATGTAACTAAATTTAGGAATATTCACACTATGGGATGCTGCACAAAATCAAAGAATAAACTATTGCTACACAATAGCACAGACGATTTCCACATATATGTTGAATGAAAGAAGTCACACACAAAAGGGTCCCTACTTTATGATTCTGGTCACATGATGTTCACGGCAAATCTAACCTATGGCATGTAAGTCAGGACAGTGTCTACTTCTGGCGGAGGAGTGGGGTTCATTGTACGGGGGTAAGAAGGAGATTTGGGGGCACCAGAAGCATTCAATAGGTTGAGCTGGTGCTGCTTACGTGGGTAATTGCATGTATAAAAGTTCAATGAGATGGACACATAATATTTGTGTAGCCTGCTGTATGTTGGGTATACCTCAAAAAAAAAAAAAAAAAGTTGAACTGCACAGCGGATTTGCCAGGTAAGCTTCCAACGCAATATTTTATACTGAGTTTTAAAACTAGGACTGAATTGTTTTTAATAATTTGTTTAGGAGGAATAATTTTAGATTCACAGGAAAATCGCGAAGATAGTACGGAGTGTTCCCGTGGACCCCACACCCAGTTTCCCCTAATGTTAACATCTTACATAACTGTGGCACATTTGTCAAAACTGAGAGATGAACATGGCTACATCACTAGGACTGTATTCGCGTTTTACCAGCTTCTCCACTAATGTCCTTTTTCTGTTCTAGGAGCTCATCCAGGATACATTTAGCGCTACTGAAATTTTACTGTAATTTCTGTCCTTAGAGACACCACACACGCAGTCTGGTGCACAGCTCCAGCTGGTGCCTCCCCTCTGCCCACCTTCCCCTAAAAAGCACTTGTCTAATGAATCAATAAATAAGCAAATGCAAGGATTGTGTGCTCTGGCCTGGACAGCTCGAATGAAAATATCAGTAGACGGTCAGCCTTTGACGGTTCAGGCCCCCAATCAGTTACACGGGGGCCCTGGGTCCAAGCTGTGCCACATTGGGGGGAAGGGCTTGGCCAGTTTTGTGCCCAGTACCACTGCCTAGGATATCTGGGGACCGTTATGGGGAATGCATGTGTGTGTGTATGCATTGCACGGTGCCTTGCTTGGGCATGTGTACACACTCAGGTGCGCATGTACTTGTACATGTCCAAGTGGGTGACACATGTGCTTGTGTGTGTACTCCTGCGTGCACTCACATACGTGGTGTGCTCCTGTGTGCGTATTTATGTGTGCACGTGTATATGGTTGCGGTGTGTGCATGCTCATGAGTGCACTTGTGTACATGCATGTGTGTGCATGTGTATACACACATGTGCAGGGCCAACCTGGAGGCTGGGGAAGCAGACCTGCCTGCCTCCTCCGCACAGTGGCTGACAAGCAGGTTGAGCTGGCAGGACAAAAGGGACTTGGCAGGGGGGAAGAAGTCAAGGATCTCTGAGATGGGTGGAGGATCATTCCAGATTACCCAGAGGGAATAAAGGTGATCCCACGTCCTTGTCAGAGGGATTCGGGGCGGACTTGACTGAAGGGGAAGATGAACAACAGCCACTCGCCAGCCTCCGAGGTAGAAGAAGGAGATGCAGGCCTAGGAGCGGAGTGAAACTCCAGAACTCCAGAACTCCAGAAACTCGAGAGGCAGGGAGACTGTTCCCCAGAGTGCTTGACTTCTGCCTTGAGGACTGGGCCAGTAAAGGGGTGCTCTTTCCAGCCACCATGTGGATTTTTTTTAATAGCAGCAACAGGAAATGAACATGACCCCATTATTCTTGCTTCAGCAACTGAGAGGGATGCTGGGGAGGTAAGGGAAGAAGGGGGTGGTTAGGCCTGCAGTACACCCCAGGACACCTCAAGGTTGGGGAGAGAGAGAGAGGGAAGGAGGGAACAGGATCGTGTTTGTCCTTGGATCCCTCTCTCTGATCAATCCCGACAGCTGACGGCTCGAGGACAGGGACGGAGGGCTGATGTCTGTCACCCCAGCTGTCACTGCCGTTCCTGAGATTCAGAGTCCCCCTCCCTCCCAGCGAATCCAGGACTTCCATTCTCTAAGGCCTCACCCTCCAGCCCCCCCCCCAGAGAGTAGAGAGACATGTTGCCATGGCAACCTCCCATTCCTGCCAGCAGCCCACAGGGACCTGGGCCGTCTCCCAAGATTTACTCCTTGGGCAGCAGTGTAGTGCCCAGGCCCTCCCTGGTACCTTGAGGCAGGACCAGGCTCATTGGTATCCTAAGATCCCTTGGCCACACCGGGTCCTTCTATTCAAGGTCAAGCAGTGGCCAGGCCTCCAACAAGCGGCCAGACCAGAGGCTTCAGGGAGCACTACTGCAGGGGCTGGGCCTCTCCACAGCGGTGGGCGCCCCGAGACCAGGACTTCCCCAAAGGGTCAGAGGGAGCCAGACCCTGCTGCCCAGAGACCAGAGCTCAGAAATCAGCCCCTGCTGAGAAAACAGAGTCTGATCACCCTGAGGAGCCCCAGGATAAGGGGTTTGCTTCCATCACCAGAGGCTGGATGGCTCACGAGCGTTGATGGTGGCGCCTGAGACCAGCGCTGTGGCCTCGCCCACAACCTCACGTGTGGCTGAGGCTTTGCGCAGGCGTGGGGCCTGGACCCTCTGGGGACCCCAAGACTAACTGACCTTGTCCCTTCCTAGAGGCAAGACCACACACAGCAGGGAGACACAGCATGTTCGCCCTTTAGCCATGGAAGTGGCCTTGAAGCTGAAGTCCAGCCTACTCAGTGGACAGGAGGGTAGAAGCTGGTCCTGCAAGGCCCAGTGGCTTGCTCAGACCACTCGGCCAGTGA